CGTGCTTACCGAAGAGTGAAATCAAACAAGAGCGCGTGCTTACCGACGAGTGAGATGGAGGCGGTGGGGGAGCCGGAGATGTAGAGTCGGTCACGCTGGTGAGGGATGATGTTTGTTTCGGATATGTTGATGTCGAGATGCAGCAGATTGGTGGCTGAGCCGGTCAGGTCAAGCACGAGGGGCGTGTGTAGGTGTACGATAACACCACCAGGCTGCAAACACACACACACAGACACATATAAACATACATACACACAGACACACACACGTACGCACGTATGCACGCACACACGCACGCACACACACGTACACATACACGTGATGCATGCATGCTTGCAACAATCAAACTATCCCTTGACAAGTTAAGCAATGTAAACAATACATCAGCAACGATGGTAAACAATGTAAACAATACCTCAGCAATGATCGTAAACAATGTAAACAACACCTCAGCAGAGATCGTAAACAATGTAAACAACACCTCAGCAGAGATGGTAAACAATGTAAGCAATACCTCGACTGTGAAGGTAGCCTCGTGCGTGTCAGTGTTCATCTGTGTCAGCCCCAGCATCGTCACGGTGATCGCCCCCATACGCTGCGGCACGAGCGGGATGTAGATCTTCCTGCCTCCCTTCGCCGGAATCTGCGTGCACGAGAACACACACCGACGATGATGCTCATGAACATCAAGAACAACCAAAGCAAGAACATCACGGCAACATCTCGCTGTCTCATAGACTAGCTGCAATATATGCGATCGGCACTCTATACACGCCTCTTATGTATAGAGAAGGCCCTATACACTGGCTCACACACAGAGAGCAGGGCCGTAGCCTGCTGGGGGGGGGAGCTGCCCCCTATATTTTGAAGCAAAAAAAAAAGTTCTACTAAAAGAGAATTGTCGTAGTCAGAATGAAGGCTGTACATGTACTCAAAAGTGCCTCAAATACCATCTCCTGCGATCTACATTTTCAAAATTTTCTGTGGGAGGACCCCCAGACCCCCATCTGTTTCTCACCCCTCCTTGAAATCCTGGATCCGCCACTGCCCCCCCCCCTCCGTAGGAATTTGCTCAGCCTCTGTGGAATACAGAGGGCGCTCACAACCCTAGACACCGGCTCTTATGTATAGAGGGCGCTCACTGAGGAAAGCAGGACGTGCTACGACGAGGCGCTGCCTCTAACGTAGAGGGCGCTGCCTCCAATGTAGAGGTTGCTGCCTCTAACGTAGAAGAGCGCTCCCTCTAACGTAGAGGGCGCCGTCTCTAATGTAGAGGGCGCTGCCTCTAATGTAGAGGGTGCTGCCTCTAACATAGAGGTGCTGCCTCTAACGTAGAAGGGCGCTGCCTCTAACATAGAGGGCGCCGCCTCTAATGTAGAGGGCGCTGCCTCTAATGTAGAGGGCGCTGCCTCTAACGTAGAGGGCGCTGCCTCTAATGTAGAGGGTGCTGCCTCTAACATAGAGGGCGCTGCCTCTAATGTAGAGGGCGTTCCCTCAGGAACGCAGAGATGTGATGGGTGGATGTGGTGGGTGTTCCCTCCAACGTAGAGGGCGCTGCCTCTAATGTAGAGGGTGCTGCCTCTAACATAGAGGGCGCTGCCTCTAATGTAGAGGGCGTTCCCTCAGGAACGCAGAGATGTGATGGGTGGATGTGGTGGGTGTTCCCTCTAACGTAGA